CTTACTACTACTACTACTACTACTACTACTACTACTACTACTACTACTACTACTATTACTACTACTACTACTACTACTACTACTACTACTACTACTACTACTTCTACTACTCCTACTCCTACTACTACTACTACTACTACTACTACTGCTACTACGACTACTACTACTACGGCTACTACTACTACTCCTACTACTACTACTACTGCTACTACTACTACGACTACTACTACTACCACTACTACTACTACTACTACTACTACTACTTAAACTAACACTACTTTTACTACTACTTCTACTACTACTACTACCACTACCACTACTACTACTACTACTACTGCTGCTGCTGCTGCTACCACTACCACTACAACTACAACTACTACTACTACTACTACTACTACTACTACTGCTGCTGCTACTACTACTACTACTACGGGTAAGGCTGTCATTGTTAACGGTCGTGAACACTATTACTTTCCTCATGATTCTCATTATTACTAATACTACGCCGACGGCGAGTATAATCACTATGCCTACTACCGCCACGACCACCACCACCACCATTACTCGTACTACGGACATTCGTACAGGGACATGTACCGTCAATTCTACTACGTTTGTTTTACTACTACCACTACTACTATTACTACTACTACTACTATTACTACTACTACTACTACGACTACTACTACTACCACTACTACTACTACTACTACTACTACTACTACTACTACTACTACTACTACTACCTCTACTACTACTACTACTACTACTACTACTACTACTACTACTGCTGCTACTACTACTACTACTACTAGTACTACTACTACTACTACTACTACTCCTTCTACTGCTGACTTCTACTACTAAGACGACTACTACTATTTGTCCTACTACTACTACTACTACTACTGCTGCTACTACTACTACTACTACTACTATTGCTACTGCTATTGTAGCTACTGCGAGTTATTATTCTACTACTCCTACTACTTGTATTGCTACTACTACTACTACTACTAGTACTACCACTACTACTACTACTACTACTGCTACTACTACGACTTCTACTACTACCACTACTACTACTACTACTACTACTGCTGCTGCTACTACTACGACTACTACCACTACAACTACTACTACTACTAATACTACTACTACTACTACTACTACTACTACTACTACTACTACTTCTGCTACTACTACTAATACTACTACGAGTAAGGCTGTCATTGTTAACGGTCGTGGACACTACCACTTTCCTCATGATTCTTATTATTACTCATACTACGCCGACGACGAGTATAATCACTAGGCCTACTACCGCCACGACCACCACCACCACCATTACTCGAACTACGGACATTCGTACAGGGACATGTACCGTCAATTCTACTACGTTTGTTTTACTACTGCCACTACTACTATTACTACTACTACTACTACTACTACTACAACTACAACTACTACTACTACTACCACTACTACTACTACTACTGCTACTACTACTACTACTACGACGACTACTACTACTACTACTAGTACTACTACTACTACTCCTTCTAACTGCTACTACTGCTGATTTCTACTACTAAGACGGCTACTACTATTTGTCCGACTACTACTACTACTACTATTGCTACTGCTATTCTAGCTACTGCGAGTTATTATTCTACTACTCCTACTACTTGTATTGCTACTACTACTGCTACTACTACTACTACTACTACTACTACTACTACTGTTGCCACTACCACCACTGCGACTACGACTACTACTACTACTACTACTACTACTACTACTCCTACTACTACGACTACTACTCATAAGACGACGACGACGACTATTACTACTACTACTACTACTACTACTACTACTACTACTATTACTACGACTACCACTACTGCTACCACTACGAACATAACTTCTACTACTACTACTACTACCACTACTATTACTACTACTACTACTACTACTACTACTAGTACTACTACTACTACTACGACTACTAAGACTACTACTATTACTACTACTACTACTACTACTAAGGGCTTCCACTGCCTTGTTGCAGTTGTGGGTTAATTATTTTCGGCGCTTCCCGGTACAACAGTAATGTTCCGTGCGGGGCGGGCGCGATACCCTGGGATGCCCCCCCCTAGGATATCCGACGAAAATTGCATTGGGGGACGCAAGAGGAATCGGAAAGGAAAAACACGAGGACATTCAAACGATCAATGGATGTCATTTTGCCCGATGCGCTCAGAAATGTTCTACATGTTGCTATGTACCACTGGCGGTTGGCTCAGGCCAGTTCGGTTCGCCAATACGCTCTTGAGTGTTTTACATGTTTGCCGATACCAGTGGCATTTCGCTCAGACCCCCTTCTAAGTACTACTGTCTTTTTTGTTGAATACAATATGAGCAACATCTACTACTACGATTACGACGACTACTACGACCATTACCACTACTACTTCTTCTTCTACTGCTACTACTACGACTACTACTACTACTTCTACTACTACTACTACTACTACTACTACTACTACTACTACTACCACTACTGCTACTACTACTACTACTACTACTACTACTACTACTAGTCGTACTTCTACTACTACTACTACTACTACTACTACTTCTTCTACTACTACTACTACTACTACTACTACTACTACTTCTACTACGATTACTCTCCCTATTTCAACTACTACTACGACTACTACTACTACTACTACTACGACTACTACTACGATTACTCCTACTACCAGTTCTTGTAATACACGCCTACTACTTATACGACTATTACTAACATTACCATTATTACTATCACTACTACTGCTACTACTACTGCTGCTACTATTACTACTACTACGGCCACTACCATTATTGCGACTACGACTTTGAGGACTACCACTACTCTTCTTACTATCAATGAAATTATTATTACTATTTCTACTACTACTACTACTACTACTACTACCACTACTACTACTACTACTACTACTAATTATTATTACTACTACTACTGCTACTACTACTGCTACTACTACTACTACTACTACTACTCCTCCTCCTCCTACTACTACTACTACTACTACCACTACTACTCCTACTACTGCTACTACTACTACTACTACTACTACTACTACTACTACGTTTACGACGACTACTACATTTCAGCCTACAACGACATATCATCATCACTAGTATCTGTATGTTCGATTTTTGCACTCGGATTATGACTGCCCCACTGCATTGGCGAATTCGTTGTGTGAGTACAAGCATGATTTCAAGTCGCGGACGGGAAACAATTATTTTCTGTTCTCCCCGGTTCGTGATGACTCTCCGTGCGGGGCGGGCGCGATACCGTGGGATGGACGGCCAATAAACATGAATTTGTCCTTCGGGACTGGTGTAGGACATCGTATAGGACAGCGGCGGCGGAGGCACGATATTATAAGCACTACTTTTCGTCCTACTACTACTACTACTACTACTACTACTTTGCCTACTACTACTACTACTACTACTACTACTACTACTACTACTACTACTACTACCTTTACTACTCTTACTACTACTACGACTACTACTACTACTACTACTACTACTACTACTACTACTACTACTACTACGACTACTACGACTACTACTACTACTACTACTACTACTACTACTACTACTGCTACTACTACTACTACTACTTACTACTACTATTACTACTACTATTACTACTACTACTACTACTACTACTACTACTACTACTACTACTACTACGACTACTACGACTACTACGACTACTACGACTACTACGACTACTACGACTACGGCTACGACTACTACTACTACTACTACTACTACTACCACTACCACTACTACTACTACTACTACTACTATTACTACTACTACTACTACTACTACAACGACGACGACGACGACGACTACTACTATTACTACTACTACTACTACTACTACTACTACTACTACTACTACTACTACGATTACGACCACGACTACAACTACGATTAATACTACTACTATTACTACTACTACTACTACTACTACTACTACTACTACTACTACTACTACTATTACGGCGACTTCTACTTATAGATTTACTACTAGTATAATTGCGATTATTATGACTACTACTTTAGATGTCGGTGCGGGGGAACAACAAGTATGGGGGTGGGCAAAAGTGGGGTGTGATCCAGACAGCCGACGCCGTAATTTCTGTCACAAAGTGGCTCGCCAGACGTCTGGACCATTCCCTCGGATCTTGACACCTCCCTGGGGACCAGCTTCTCATCCTGACTTCTTCTTTTGCGGCCCAGGGTCTCGGTGAGGGCCCCTAGACGCCGAAATCTGCCCAACGCCTCAGGTCGTTCTTCTCACGACGCAAGGATGCCAGGGGAAGGAGGGAAGCGGAAGGGAGGCCAGATGAGCAAGGAGGGAGGGAGGGAGGGAGGCGGAGGGAAGAAGAGAGAGGGAGGGAGGGAGGGAGGGAGGGAAGGAGGCAGGGAGGGAGGGAGGCAGGGAGGGAGGAGGCCGGCGGTCCGGCGTCGGCGCACTTTGGGCGCAGGTCGCCTCCCTTCCCTGCTCTCCTCTCCAGCGCCCTCCCGCCTCGGCAAGGGGGCGTGCTGCGTCGCCCCCTGCCGGCTGTTTCGTACCGGAGGGGGGGGGCGATAAATTCAGGGGGGGTAGAGAGGTGAGAGGTGCACCCCTCTGAACTCGGGGGGGGAGGCGATAAATTGAGAGGGGGTAGAGAGGTGAGGGGGGGGGGAGAGAGGTGAGAGGCGATAAACTGAGGGGGGGGGGGGGGCGATAAACTGAGGGGGGCGATAAAGTGAGGGGGGGTAGAGAGGTGCACCTTGGGGGCCCTACCGGAGCCTTCTGGGGCAACAGTAAGAGCACCGAAAGAGTGCACGTTTCCGTGCCCCCCCCCCGTCGATATCGCCATCCCAGGGAGCATCGCCCAGCCATCTCTCCCCCCGGAGGAGCTGTGCTGGGCGCTGCTGGAGGGCTGGCGGGTGGCCGCGCTCCTGCTGGACCAGAGCGGCCCGCGGAGGGGCTCGAGAAGCAGACGTTCCCAGCGGCGGCGGCGGCGGCGGCGGCAGCGACGACGACGACGACGACGACGACGACGACGACGACGACGACGACGACGACGACGACGACGGGGGCGGCGACGGCGACGACGACGACGGTGGCCGCTGCAATGACGACGACGAGGACGACGGCGGCGGCGGCGACTATCTATGGCGCTATGGCGAAAGCGCGGATCCCGAGTGCTGGCTCGGCCGCATCAAACACATCACTCACGAGGGAACGACATTCCCGACTTTGGCGGGAGCCCTCTCGCAAGCCGATCAAGCACCTCCGACCCAGTGCGGGTAGGAGGCGCACACGGCCCCCGCAGGCCACGGACACTTTGGGCCGCAAAACGCCCACAGGTTGAGCAATACAAAATGCCACTCAACACGGACAAGGAATGGGTCCCGTGGCAGTGGATGGCCAGTGGGTGAGCGCCAGCACCCTCCTCAGCAGGGCCCAAAACGGGGCCAGGAACCGAAACCTCATCCTCGCCCTCACTCGGTGGCGCAGCGAAGCGGGCAAAGCGGCTGCCCTGGCACTGATCAGGCCAGAAAGAGGCCAGCATACCACGTGTGCTAAACTTGCAGTGGCACAGGTTGCACTTGATCAGCGTGCGGAGCACAACAGGGCAATGTCCCTTCGCACGCACACGCACGACACGCTCTTGCGCGAAGGACCGCCCGCCCCTCCGTCGCACGTGCTGGGGACCCTCATCACGCCCAACGCGCGCGTACACGCTGTCACGAGCATAAGTGGTGAACACATCCCGCTAGTCGGGGGCCCCCAAACGGTGTGGTGGCCACGCCGCCTGTGTTGCGTCAGGAGACGGTGTGTTTTAGGGTCCGGCGATGGCCCCGCTCTTCGGGGCCGCCCACCTCCCCCTCCCCCCGATCAGCTGACGTCGTCGGTGGCGCGGGTGGTCCGGGGTGGTACGCAGCACTGGTGCGCACGGGCATGCGAGGGGCTACCCGAGGCGAAACAATCAGGTGATCGGCCGCCCCCCCGATCGGAAGCTTCGCCCAGGTCGTCGCCGAAAACTCAGGAGCGAGATCCTGTGGAGATTCGAGGTCACCGTACGGTTTTGGGACTCGGGCCATTCTCCGAGATCGTCTTGAGCGACCGGGGCCTCCGATGTCCCGAGGCCGTGCGATGACGGACCGCGCGGTGAGGTCTTCTTTGGTGACTTCGAATTCACCGCGCGGTTCATCACCATACGGTTTTGGGACCCCTGAGGGACGTCTTCGAGTCGTGAAAACCAGCCTGGCAAAAAACATGTTCCTGAACGCGAGGCGGCCATGAACAGGACAGCTCAAGACACAAGAAAACATAAAGGGATCTGCAATACCCCCAGACACCCGGCCAAAGACGCCGAACGCTCCTCATTCACAGAGCCAGAGCCTTCGGTTGAGCTCCCCATGGGCCGAACCGCCACTGGGGCATTCGCTTGCGCTCCTTATGGGGCCGGAGACGGAGTGCGAACGCAGCCATTGGGGCCTTCGGTGGAGCTCGTTGTGGGGCCACGAGACGTGTGAGTGGTGTGCTGACATGGGCCCGAGACGGAATGCGAACGCAACCGCTGGGGCCTTGGGTTTTGGGTGGAGCTTGGTGTGGGGCCACGAGACGTGTGAGTTGTGTGCCGAAATGGCCTCGAGAAGAAATGCAAACGCAGCCACTGGGGCCTTCGGTGGAGCTCGTTGTGGGGCCATGAGACCGGTGAGTTGTGTGCCGACATGAACCCGAGACAGCATCCGAATGCAGCTTCTGGGGCCTTCGATGGAGCGCCGTATGGGGCCACGAAACGTGTGAGTAGTGTGCCGAAATTGATCCGAGACGGCCCGCAAACGCAGCCATTGGGGCCTTCGGTAGAGTTCCTTGTGGGGACGCGAGACGTGTGCGCGAAGGCATCACGGTGTTTTATCACAAGTGTGGTAGCGATGGTGAAGGTGGTGGGTGGTGGCTATGATGAGAAGGAAGACGATGACGAGCAGGAGGGCAGGAGCAGGGATGGGGGTACGGAGGCAGGAGCAGGTTGGAAGGGGGGGCGAGGGACGCTGCTGGTTCAAAACTAAGACCCAACATCACAGGATGGTTGGGCTGAGCTGTTCTCGCGGGTGTCTCTGACGTGTTCGTGAGGTCTTGAAGGTTCTCTTGCATCAGGAGTTATGTCCAGCAGCAGCGCCTCGTCGAGAGCGTGCTGGGGGCCCGAGCGGCCGCCGCAGGCCAGAGTTAGGAACCGACGACCTGACGTCCTCGCGTCGCGAAAGGAATGACGAGAGGCGTTTTGACATTCACGTCGCGAGGAGGTCTGGCTCTCGCGCCATAGCTCTGGCCTCCGACGAACGATCGGGATGACCCGCCCGGGCACCCCCAGAACTCCCTCGAAGAGCCGCAGCTGCTGGGAAGCACCCCGAGGCGAGGACACCTGCAAGAGGTGAAGCAGACGTCCGAGCCCCCCGCAGGCAGCTCCCATTGCTTTCGGGCGTAGCCCGAATTTGTTTCTCGCGAGGTAAACTGGCTGAAGTGAGCTGAGCAGACTGGTCGCACCCGTTACGTGACGGCTTTATTCTCGGCCGCCAAGGGCGCAAGTTATGGCGCAACCGAAACGAGACGGTTTTATTCTCGGCCGCCGAGGGCGCAACCGATCCGGCCGCCGAGGTGCCAGGAGAAGGAGGATGAGCAGGAGGAGGAAGAGGAGAAACGAGGACGATGTCTTAGATGAGGAAGATGAGGAAGACGAGGAGGATGAAGAGGACGAGGAGGAGGACGAAGACGACCACGATCATGATGGGGAGGATGACGGGGAGGAATACGAGTAGTACGAGGACGGAGTGTGGGCATTCGAATGCGTGTGGGGCTACGCCCGATTCATACTCGCCGTTTGGGCTGGCGGTGGGGCCCAAGCGGCGAGCTGTCTTGTGACTTCTCGCACAGTTGTGCTCTAGAGCTGTGCATGGCCATGCCGAACCTCCCTGACTCCCTTGCACCTGACCCCCACGCTGCTCCTTTCCCTCGACGCCCCCTCGTGCAAGCGCCGGGGCACGCGTGCCGCTCGAGCGACGGCATACATCGGAGGGCGTCCTGCGCCGACACTCGCAAGCAAGCCTCCGCGCGCAAGAGGTCGCGCGCCGGCGCGCCCTCTCCTCCACGCCGTGTACCACGCGGGCAGCCCGCGTGAGCCGCCGCGTAAGGTCGCGATGTGATCTCGCGTCGGACCGGGGCGGGCCGGTGCGCGGGAGCGGCAGCTGGAGGAGGAGGAGGAGGAGGAGGAGGAGGAAGGGAGGAGGAGGAGAGGAGGAGGAGGGGGAGGAGGAGGAGGGGAGGAGAGGGGGAGGAGGAGGAGGAGGTTGGAGCAGAGGAGGAGAGGAGGGAGGAGGAGGAGGAGGACCCGTCTCGTTTCGTCGCCCGCTCGCTTGATGCCTTGTTCTGGTAAGCCTGTGGTCCGGCACGCACGCACCCCGGGAGCGCGGCGCCCTCCCCGGCCCTCGGGGCAGCGCAGCCAAGCGCACCGGGACGACGGGTCCTCTCCCCTCCTCCTCCTCCTCCTCCTCCTCCCTCCTCTACTCCTCCTCCTCCTCCTCCTCCTCCTCCTCCTCCTCCTCCTCCTCCCCCTTCTCCTGAGTGCTCCGTCGCCCGCGGCCTCTTCTCTCCCCCCTCCGCGCCGCTCCCGCTCCCGCTGCGCCCAGTGTGGCCCCTGAAGCGCTCCTCGGCTGCCTCGGCAGCGCCTTGGCTCCAGGCCCCTGCAGCTGAAGCACGCGTCAAGATCTTCCAGGGCCCCCAGACGGCCCGCGCCGTCTTTCCCCCACTTCAGGAGAGGCTAAGTCCAGACAGAGTAAGCCCGCGCGGGGACCGAGCACTCCGTATGAACTTCCCCCGTATGGACTCAGCATCCAACCAGTCAACCCGCATAGTAAGGATGGGCAACCTTCCCAAGGGTACCTTTGCATCCTTGCCTACTCGGTTCATCCCTCGCCACTTTCGCTGTCCGCGCCCCGCTCGAAAAGCCTCGGCATGGCCTCCCAAGGCCCTTGCATCCTAATAGCCGTATCGCGCATCCTTATGAGACAGGTCGACTGTAACCCAAAGAGGCTGAGCCGAGACGGAGTGAGCTCAGACGGAGCCCGAGCACGTCGTATGGCCTTACTCCTCCTCCTCCTTCTCCTCCTCCTCCTCCTTCTCCTCCTCCTCCTCCTCCTCCTCCTCCTCCTCCTCCTCCTCCTCCCTCCTCCTTCCTCCTCCTCCTCTCCTCCTCCTCCTCCTCCTCCTCCTCCTCCTCCTCCTCCTCTCCTCCTACTCCTCCTCCTCCCCCCTCCTCCTCCTCTCCTCCTCCTCCCCCCCCTCATCCTCCTCCTTCCTCCTCTCCTCCTCCTCTCTCCCTCCTCCTCCTCCTCCTCCTCCTCCTCCTCCTTTCTCCTTCTCCTTCTCCCTCTCCCACCTCTCCTCCTCCTCCTCCTCTCCTCCCTCCTCCTCCTCCTCCTCCTCTTCTCCTTCTCCTCCTCCTCCTCCTCCTCCTCCTCCTCCTCCCTCTCCTCTCCTCCTCCTCCTCCTCCTCCTCCTCCTCCCCCCCCTCCCCCTCCTTCCTCCTCCGCCTCCTCCTCCTCTCCTCCTCCTCCTCACTCCTCATCATCATCCTCATCATCATCTCAACTCCTCCTTCCTCCCGCCCTCCCCCTCCCCCCTTCCTCCTCTTCCTCCTCCTCCTCCGCCTCCTCCTCCTCCTCCTCCTCCTCCCCCTCCTCCTCCTCCTCCTCCTCCTCCTCCCTCCTCCCTCCTCCTCCTCCTCCTCCTCCCCTCCTCCTCTCCCTCCTACCTCCTACCTCCTTCCTCCTTCTCCTCCTTCTCCTCCTCCTCCACCCCCCTCCTTCCTCCTCCTCATCCTCATCCTCATCCTCCCCCTCCTCCTCCTCCTCCTCCTCCTCCTCCTCCTCCTTCTCCTCCTCCTCCTCCTCCTCCTCGTTCTTCTGACCCACGAAAGGCCCGTCCGTGCCCTGGCGCGGCTGCGTGCTGGCCTTCATGCAGGGCGACAGGCTGCGGCGGGGCTGGCTGGACCCGCACGAGGTGGGGCCCCATTCTCGAGCCGATGCGATCTCGATCCATGTCGATATCCAGACGATCGATCGATGTCTAATCTCTATGTCGATCTCCATGTCTCGATCCATGTCGGTCGATCGATCTCCATTTCGATCTCTATGCCGACCTCCATGTTGACCCAGATTCGTCTAATCCGATCGATGCATGTCGATCTCCAGAGCTCCCAGATGCATGGGGTCCGCGAGTAGGTGGGGGTCGACGATGCTGCGCGATCCTCCGACCGCATCTGCTCCGACCCCACCCGGGAGGCCTCCTCCGAGTCCGATCGAACCATGTCGGGCGGATCCCCAGAGGAGGGCGCGTGGAGACAGCGGCGTCAGTTTCGTCCTCCGTGGATCTTGACCTCCCGGAGGCGCCCCGCCGCCACGGCGGAGTCCGCCTCGAAGAGCGGGTCGGGGTGGACCTCGGGAGGGGTCCGGGGACCGACGTGGAGCGGAGGCGGGCCGGGCGGGAACGCCGCCGTTGCTTCCGCCGGCCCTCCCTCCGAGATGCGACGCGGCGAGCGCCCGACGGGCGGACTCCCCGCCGCGTGGGCGCAGCGACTCGAGCGATTCTCAAGTCTTGGGCGCCGCGCGAGAGAGATGCGTGGCACTCGGCCCAGCGACGCCGGCGGCGACGGGAGGTCGATCGCGGCGTGCCGCTCCGCCGAGGACCGGTGGCGCGGCGGTTGCGCCGCGCGCCTCGTGCGTGCTGTGCCCCGCGCAGGGGTCTGCCGGAGGGCGCCCGCCAGTCTGTCCGGCAGGAGGTGCCACGCGCCGCGGGCCCCTGGTCGGCGCCCCGCCTGCGCCGCCAGCACTGCGCGCGCTCTTCGGAGCCTTGCCCGCGCGAGGATTTCTGCTCCAGGTCATTGCTGTTGTCCGTCGAAGGCATCAATACACCACCACCGTGCCAGGACAGGGCCATCATGGGCCCTAGGATGGTGTAGAGACCCTCCTAGCCTCGGCCAGGGGTGCGTATACACCATTCCAGGGCCAGGATGGCCCTGGCTTGGCACGATGGTGGTGTGTGTATATATATATATGTATATATATGTATATATGTATGCTTTCTGCGTATGTTGCGCTCTCCGGATGGACTGCCCTTCTTTTCGCCGCGCAAGATGCGCTGGCGAGCTATTCGGAGGCGCGGGTTGTCGCGGCGCTGGCCGAGCGCGCTTGCGGGGGAGCGAGAGCGTCTTGAGCGGCAGGGGGCTGGACAATTTTTTGAAGGTGGCGAACGTTGTCGAACGTCGTCCCGCTGTCGTCGGAGAAACGCTCGTCGCCGTCGTCGTAGAGCTCGCCGCCGACGTCGGCAAAGCCGTTGCCGTCGTCGTGGCGCTCGCCGCCTTCGTCGTCGCAACAGGTGCCGTCGAGTTCGCCGTGACACTCGCCTCCGTCGTCGTCGAAGCGCTCGTCGCCTTTGTCGTGACGCTCGTCGCCGTCGTCGCCTCGATGTTCCCCGCCGAGGCCCCGACGCTCGTCGCCGCCATCGGGGTAGAGCCCATCTCCGTCGTCGTCGTTGTCGTCGTCGTCGCAGCGCTCGTTGCCCTCGTCGTCGTCGCGCGCCCATCATCGTCGCGACAGTCGCCGCCGTCGTCGTCGAGACGCTCGTCGCAGTCTTTCCCGTGGCGCTCGACGTCCGCGTCGTCCACGATAGAGCCAAGAGCTCTGGCCATTTGTAATAGCACGGTCGGGAGACCGCGACAAGCAACATTGGCATGGAAGGATGGAATACCAGATCGCCTTGTCTGTCCCATCTCCAGATATCGGAAACAATTCTGATGTCGCGAAGTGCGACCCAAAAGTGCGCCCTCGGGGCAATTGCTTTGAATGGACCCCCCAGGCCAGCCAGGACCCGGCCCACATTGGCACAGTAGCTGGCGCCGCGTCCGTCAGGTAGGGGCAGCGCCACCCTTTCCCCTTCCCTATCCCCCACTCCTCTCCCTCTCCCAGGCCTCCTCCCCTCCCCACTTCTTTTCCCGTCCCCACTGTTTTCCTGCTCCCCCTCCTTTCCTTCTTCTGCCCGCCACTCCCATCCCTGTCTCCCCTCCCTCCCCGCTGGCCAGCCCTCCCCTCCCATCCCCTTCCCATGTTTGTCCTCCCCCCCCCTTCACTCGTCCCGCCCACCACCCGCCCCGCCCCTTGCTTCCGAGCAAGGGGGCGAGTTAGCGACGCGGCTAGGGATGGGGGGCAGTGGAAGGGGGAGAGGGAAAGGGGACGGGAGGAAGAATAAAGAGGAGGACGGCGAGGATGAGGATAAAAGAGAGGGGGGCGAGTCGGATGACTTTGCCTCATGGATCTGATTGCCCCTGTGGGCACACTCGCGCTTTTTTGCTGACTGTACTCCCTGTCGTGGCAGTGGCAGTCTGTATGTGTATACAATCGTGCAAATATTCATGTGTGTATATATAAATATATTTACATAACACGGCAGAAGGGGGGCAATACACGTCGGGGGATCGATGACTGCAATGATGTTGCTTCAAAATGTCCCAACGAAGCTCCTACCGCAAAGCCCGGAATTGGTGAACGAACACGCGCGTTGCTTCACTCCGCATTCACTCCCCACCTAAACGAACACCCAGGCCCCGCTCCATGGGTTCTTGGTGGTTGTGGCCCATGCTTCTCCTTTGATGTTCCCTCGTTGTGTTTCCGTCGGCGACCCGGTACAGGGTCCGACGTGTGCCGCGAGTGCGGGCGGCCTTTCGGCTACTTCGTTTGACTGATGCCACCGCCGCTGTCGTCCGTCGTCGCTGCGTTCCGTCGTCCCTCGTCCTCGTTGTCGCCGCTCGTCGTCGCCGTCGCGTCGGCGGCAGCCGCTCCTGACCCTGTCCGGACCTCGCGCCCCTTTGGGGCGTGCGCGAGGCAAGCATAGAACCCCAGACTTCGAGTAGGAGATGTATTCCATAACACATTTGCCCCGAAATTGATAGGTCGTCGGATCTACGACGCAATACGTTGAATGCTGCGTTGGCATGAGCAACCTTGAAAAGCTTTTTTTTGTGTGTGTGTGTGTGTGGGTGTGTGTGTGTGTGCGTGTGTGTGTGTGTGTTTGTGTGTGTGTGTGTGTGTGTGTGTGTGTGTGTGTGTGTGTGTGTGTGCGTGTGCGTGTGCGTGTGCGTGTGCGTGTGCGTGTGCGTGTGCGTGTGCGTGTGCGTGTGCGTGTGCGTGTGCGTGTGCGTGTGTGTGGGGGGGGGGGTCGATTCAGCGAGAAAACCATACAGGGGCAAGTCCATTCTGTCGTCGGCCTCCTACCCGAAGCGACAGAGCCCTGAGGTCCTGGGCCCCCCACCGCTGATGTCCGACCCGCGGCGGAGGCGCGCGCCGCCGAGGGCCGCCTGGGGCTCCCCGCGGCGGAGGGCGCGCGGGCGCCGCCCGAGCAGACGTCCCTCGGGGCCTTCGTCTTCCGCGCCCAGGGAGCGGGCGCCGCAGGCGCCCCTCGCGGGCGGGAGGGGGCCGCTGTCCCGAGCACCGTCGGGCCGAGGCACAAGATCGAGGTCGGTTCGGGGAGGGTACCCTCTTGTGCTCCGTGCCTCCCAGACCCCCTCGCGCGGTGACAAAAATCACGACGGGAGGTTTTTTTACATTGTCGGCCTCTGGGGGCCTTCATCGGGCCGCGGGACCGTCAGAGCACGACTCAGGACGAGAAGCCGGTCCCAGGGAAGGGGTCCAGACCTCTGGGGGTCGACGTTGTGACAAAAATAACGACGCCACGGGTCTGGGTTGTTGGATGTTCTGGTGCATCCCGAGGACGGTGCTCCTGGATGTGCTGTGTCACCCGGCTTCTCCCTCTTTCCCGCCGCCGCTAGGCGCCTCTTCCTCCTCCTCCTCCACCTCCTCCTCCTCCTCCTCCTCCTCCTCCTCCTCCTCCTCCTCCTCCTCCTCTCTCCTCCTCCTCCTCCTCCTCCTCCTCCTCCTCCTCCTCCTCCTCCTCCTCCTCCTCCTCCTCCTCCTCCTGCATGGTGGCCTAGTTCGCGTTCCCGGCGCCCCACCGACGCCTCTCTCGCCAGCGCCGTGCCTCTGCCGTTAGCCGCCGGCGCCAAAAAGTGCTGTGCGGTTCGGCCGGCGGAGGGTCTCCTGCTCTCGAAGGGTGTGCTTTTGGCCTGGGTCCCACCGCAGGAGATCAGAGCCCCGAATCATCAGGGATAACTCGGGTCAGGGATAACTCGGGTTCGTTTCTCGGGAACCCGAACCCGAGTTACCCCGGACCCGAGTTACCCCGGATAACTCGGGCGTCCAGAGCCCCGAATCATCAGGGATAACTCGGGTCAGGGCTAACTCGGGTTCCTTTTTCGGGAATCCAAACCCGAGTTACCCCGGACCCGAGTTACCCCGGATAACTCGGGCGTCCAAGGAGATCGGCTGCGGACGAGCTGATTCGCCCCAGCGTTGGTTATGCTGGTCGTGGAATCTGCCAAACATGCAGAGGATGCCCAGTAGACCCACGCATCACTTTTTATTCAGTCTTTTCGCAGGTTCGACTGAACAATCTGTTTTGGGGTACTTTTGTAGTCGAGCTCCAACTCGAATGCTGGGATCAGTCCGCATCTTACAGTCGAGATTGCTTAGTAGGTCGGCCCTGCCAAATCAAGGGCGCCCGTGTGTCCTGTACGTTCGCGGCCCATGCATTCTGCATTCCAATGGCAGTGTGGCCCTCGGAAGAGTCTTGCCTCTCGCGTGTCCTCTCCAATCGACCTTGCTGCCCTGCTACGCACGCGCTGGAACGCAACACGTGCCGTGTTCAGCGCGTGTTGGCTCACGTTTTGGCGAACGTATCGCGCCAGACCTACGTTTCCAGTATGCGTGTTGAGCTCCGTGTCAATGCGCCATCGGTTGCGCGTCGCGTGTCGGGGCAGCTAAGGTCCGTACCCACCGCCTGGGAACCCGATCGTCCTGGACATCGGCGGGCGGTGGATACTGATATCGTTGGGCCCCAAGTGGCCCAACAAATTCCATATCCACCACCCCTTTGCGTCCCAGGACATGATTTCCCAGGTGGCGGATGTGGATAAATTCCCGCCTCGTATCGAGAATGGAACTTGGAGTCGTTTCGCCACGGGTCGCTCTCTTCGCCACGGCTGGATGACTGGCGATATCATTACTTCTTACTGGTGATCCCATTATTTCTACTCCAATTCGGGTCCGGTGTCGTGCCCCGGCACCACGAGAAATGCATCTGCGAGGAACTTTGACCCTCGGGGAACCGCCGAAAGACCTGGGGCTGCACGGTGAAACAAAAACAAAAACAGATTGGATCCAACAACGGACCGATTCAGGATCCAACAACGGACCGATTCAGGATCCAGAATGGGCTAGATCGCGATCTAGTCCATTCCTAGATCGTGAATCCGGCCGATGCCGCACGGGAAACCGCCGAAAGATTAAAAATTGCACAGGGGAACAAAAAAAAACAAAAGCAGATCGGAGGACGTCTGGGTTCGTGGTCCGAAGGTCGAGCTCAGGCGTTTTGCCCCCCTTTTCTGGGCCTCCCGGGGCGCCCTCGTCGCTACGGCTGCATCCGCAGTGGAATGCTGGCCACGGGAAGTTGTCAGTATTTTTCTGCCTCCAGGGACCGTCACAAGGGATTTCGAGGAGGAGGAGAAGGAGGAGGGGAAGGAGGAGGGAGGAGGAGGAGGAGGAGGAGGAGGGGCTATTTCGGACGTTTTCGCCGGTTGCTGCATGTTTTCTCGCCTCGGGATGCGTTCTGGCAGCTGCGGCTCGTCGAGAGCGCTCTAGGGATGCCCGCATCGTCCCTACCGTCCGCCTGAGGTTTGGGCTATGACCCGAGAGCCCGAGGTCCCCGCGTCGTGAACACAGCACATGGTCAGGAGCGTTTGCTTAGCGTGTCGCGCCGCTGGCGCTGGCCCACCACTTTCCGGCACGACACGCCAAGCACGTCTCGGGGGTTCCCAAGAGCGTGTGGCTAATGGAGGATGACGATTAATAAATGACCGAGTGTCGTGTTCACGCGGCGGCGCCCGGGATGACGATTAGAAAAAACCGGCCGCGGGCCGGAAACATATTTTTTATCGTTCTCTTCCAGGCAGGAAATTATGCAGAAATAGCAGATTTTGCTGTTTCATCGTGCTCTCTCATTTTTTTATTAGTCGTCATCCCGCGTTACGGACTGCGCGGTGACGTCGAAGTCCCACCGCGCGGTCCATCGCCGCACGGCCCTGGGGCCTCGGAGAGCCCGGGTCGCCCCGGGCGTCCTCGGTGAACGACCCGAGTTAACAAAACCGTGCGGTGACCCCAAAAGCACACTTTACCGGCCTCGAACGTATCCCTATCCCTAAGATTGACACGCCAAAAGGCGATGACAATCTTATGGATTCGCCCTCAAAAATAAGGGAATCCCTAAGATTGGCATCGTGATGAGGAGGTGCCCAGCATAGGGAAAGGGATATGTTCCAGGCTGGTAAACACTGTCTCACCACGCGGCGTGGTCACTACACACTACACCCTTCGGGACGGCAAAACATCACCGTTTCGAGCCTCTCCCAGCGTATCGCCACACCGATCTGAGCGACGCGCTCTGTCAGCCTGCAAGGCGCAGCGTGTCGCAGGGGGCCGCCGCCAGGACACGCTGAGCAGAAACTCCTCACCGTCTGCGCCGTTCCAGTCCCTGAGACCCGGGCGTTGCAATTGTTTGCACACCTGGCGTTTTCGCCCGGTTTCGGGCCCTGCGACGATCACAGATCGATGTATTGTCCAGCGGGAAATATCAGCAGAGTAAGCAGGTTCAGGGCTCCGGCCGTGATTGTTCACGATGTTTTTTTTGTCCGCAGTGTCGGACGTCAGCCTTCCACAAATCCGCACCCTCGGCGGAAGACTAGCGGAAAGCGGAAGAGACGCACAGTAGGTAGGATCGTCAGATGAGAAACCGGCTCACCGGTCGGTGCTTCACGGCAGTCGTCTTACGCCCCGATGACCTTGGGGGCCCACAGAACGTTTGGTGCACCTTGGGATCCTCAACGATCGACGACGAGTGTGCCCCACGATCTCTTGCAGCAAGAGTTCTACTCCAGCTAGGCCTTTCAGATGGGGTCCGAGCAGCTGGGGTCGGAGGATTGCGCCGCATCACCGATGCCTCGGCGATGCGGCTCGATGTGGAGCGCGATGTTCTCCACGCCGACGTCGCTGATGCATCGTCGAAGTCACCGCTGCATCGCCGATACATCGGTTGACCGGTGCAATCCTCCGACCGCATCTACCACAGGGGCAACGATACAAGGGGATAGGCATAGGCGGGGATGCATCGACCCCCAATCGCCAATTGATCGGCGATAGGGGCCCCACAGCCCCAACCTGCCCAGGAACCTGCGGATACAGTAATT